TCTCTCTCTCTCTCTCTCCCCTCCCCTCCCCCTCCTCTCTCCTGCCCTCCCTGCCTGTGTGTGTGGGGAGAAGTAGTGATGATGGTGGTTATTTACAAAACATGAAGCTTAACGGATGTCCTACTGATCTGCCTTCACGTTCAGGATTCAGCCTCTATGCATAAGTGCTTTGGCAAACCTGGTTATCAACACTTATTTGGTTTAAGGAGATAAAATTCAAATTGCCGCATGGAACTTTAATAACAAGCTCGAAGTGAACAAAACACCAAATCTACGGCGCGTGGTTGTGTGGGTGTCCGCTTTACCTTGAATATGAGATGCAGGTGAATGAAAAGACTGAAAGGGTAGAGCCCTAAGTATTATTTACCCAGATTTGAGTTTTAACAAGCTACAAAAGCTTGAATTGACAGTGAGCCTTTCTCCTTAAAGGAGAGGTACATTCCCTCTGGGGAGACACAGCCTCTCTTTCACCGGGATTCTACTTTTCTTCTGAAACACTTTCATAATCAAGCGACTTTCCTTGCATGGGCGCCTGGGGACAGCTGATTTTTCTCTGAGGATAGAGAAAGTTACATATTGATTGCTGTTGCTCGCGGTGTGTTTGCACCAGCGTGGGCAGAAGCGGGCGCGCGAGCGCCAGTGCATTCACACACACTCGCTGAAATACACATCACACCCCCCAGCCACACACGCGTGCGCGCGCGCACACACACACACACACACACACACACACACACTACTCTGCACCTCATTCTGGCAGGTCCACGCGAAGCCAGCAATTTGCGTCTTCCCTGCTATGGGTGTGTGTATGGTGCGTGCATGCGTGCGTGTCTGTGCGTGTGTGTGTGTATGTGTGTGTGTGTACAGAAACCCATCAGGAACCCATCAGGAAGACAGCAGCTACCTTATTCTGCAAGCAAGCTGCGATTCCGGTTCCTGTGTACATCGGACAAAAAAAAAATTAAATCGCTGTCAAACTTTTTTTTTTTTCATTTAATTACCTCCTTTCAAAAGAGAGACAGTGCGGGAGCTTCTCCCAGTAGTCTAAGACTCGGGAGACCCCGCAGCAAGGCCCGGGGAGCCGCCACGACTGCCAGCCGCGAAGGTCTCCCATCCAACTGATCTAATCAATGACTCTGAGGCGCGGGGGCTCCTGGCTCCGCCCCCGCCAGGCTCTTCTCCAACTTCGATTGGGCGCAGGCGGAGGAGGCGGGGCCCTGCTCCTCACGCGGATTGGCTGGCAGGGAATCAGTATCAATGTTTAAGCGGCGGCGTGAGGTGAATAGAGTCAGTCAGCAAGAGGCGCTGAGGGGAGTGCGGGGACTGCGAGCCCCGCGGATGCGGCAGCGGTGGAGGGCGGCCGGGGAGACGCGACTCCAACTGTTGAATTTTCGCCTTTCATCTCCTTCGACGCTTTGCTCGCGGAGATGGATCTATTTGCTTTGAAATCCGCACGCCTTTCGCAGGCGGTGAGCTGATCCTGATTGGCACCAGATTGAAAGAGACCACCCGTGACAGAAACGAGGGGGGGGGGAAAAAAAAAAAAAACCTCCACAACGGACTGCACGATTAGCGGTGCACACCGGCGCTGGACTTTGTGAATAGGGAACGTCGCGAGGAAAATCGTGGACTGTGATGTGGCGCTAAGCTGCGAACACTCACTGGAATCCTGCTTTTTTTTTTTTTTTTTCAAGACTCTGAAAGATTTGGGGGTTCCTCACGCCTAACCAAAAGGACAGCTTTTTTTTTTTTCTAATAAATAAATAAATACACCTAGCAGAACAGACGCCTTGCTTCCCCGAGCCTCGGACTCCAGCAGAAAGAGGTAGAGTAAAAGTGCTGGTGGATTCGCCTTCACCTTCCTCCTTCCCTCCCTCCCTTTCTCTTGCTTCTTCTTTTTCCTCCAAAACATGAATCTGGCTTTTCTCTCTGTAGAGTGAGTCAGAGAAAGCGTTAGGGAGAAGCCGCAACTAACGCCTGGGAAGGGAGGACCGTGAGGCGAGAGTGAATACGATTCGTTCCGCTGCCTCTGACTCATCCGGCAGATCCGAACACCTGCATTTCTGGATGTGTCATCCCCGTGTGTCCAGGCGCCTCGAGAAACCCGAAATGATGTGTAGACAGAGCTGAGCCTAACGTCCCCTCAGCGGTGGCACCGCGGGGATTGGGAGCCTCTGGCTGGACCGTCGCGGCCGCAGCTCCTCACCCCCTGCCCACCCTAGAGACTGCGAGAGCGAGACTGCAGAATGCATCACGCCAAACCTTGATGTGCTGCTTTCATCCAGCCCACTCCTACTTATAAAGATCAAAACAAACAAACAAACAAAAAAAATTGAAGGGGGGGAAAAAAAACCCGCACTTTATTCGCTTCAAATATTCTCCACTTTTATTCCTCGCCAATTTTGCCTTCCTAGATGAAGAGGACTGGGAGACAGGGCCATTGGAAGGAGATGCTGAATAGAAAGAAAAGAGAGGCACTTGACAGCTCAGCCCTGTGAATGCAGACTGTTTCCCTTCTAGCGAGAGACAGGGAGAGTGTGTGTGCGAGGACTGGGAGGTGGCTCCCCCTCCCGTAATCTGCCTCCCCCTCCCCCTTCAGATCTGCACACCAAGCCATGAGTTGCCTGTTGATTTCCTTTCGCCTGGGAAGCAAAGCAAACTGGAATTAAACTGCATGGAGAGAAGTCCTTGCTCGAGGGAAGAGAATGGGATGGTAGCGGCGGCTACTGGCTTGGTGTAGCGGGGAAAAAGAAAAAGAAAAAAAAAAAAAACGTGCGTGTTCTCTGAACAGAAGCGGAGATACATTGATCCATTCCCCTCTTCCCAATAGACTCCGACCGCAAACGCTGATCAGGCTGTGGCTTTTCTGACTTCGGGGAGAGCCTTTCCCGAGGAAGAGAGGGAGGAGCTTGGTGGAGGGTGGAAACTACAAATCCGGACACTAGTTCTTTGCGCTGCATTTCCTCCCCTCCCTCTGGCTGCTCGGAAAGGAGAGAGAGAGAGAGAGAAAGAGAGAGAGAGAGAAAGAAATACGCTTGGCTGGGAGATGCAGTCCGCTGCCGCCGCTGCCTCAGCCAGCAATGCTAGATTAGATCTCTAAATGCAGCAAAACACCGCCTGAAAACAGACCAGCCCGCGAAGCAAGCAGTCATTTCACGGGGCTCAGGGGAAGCTTCAAAATATATCTGACTCTCATCTTTGCTCCTCTTCCCCAGGAGACAAGAAACAAGTAAGGATTTCACTTTCCGATCTGCCTGGAGACACACCTCCCCGCTCCCTCCCCCACCCCATGTGAAGAGTATTTCGGCGGCTACGGGCGGGAGTGGATTCGCAGCGCCCTAGTGGGAGCGAGGAAAACCTACGGATTCTTAGCTCATTATCATCCCTCCCAGACTCGATTGACTTCTTATCGCCGGCACCATCGCTCAAGTTTGAGTCGCCCGGAGTCCGGGTGGTGGAGACAAAGCCCCGGACTCTCCCCCAGCTGCTGGGAGCCGCCGCCTTGCTCCGTGCCCCTGCAGCTCTGCTGCGCCGCTGCTTCTCGCCCAGTGCGGATGCTGTAGATCAACAGGTTCGGCAACTTGAGCGGAATAAGGACAGACCGCCGGGTGCCGCAGCCCGGGAGCGGAGAGAAGGAAGGACCCACAGACTTGCGGCTGGCGTCGCGCGCGCACGCTGCGCCGGGGCTCCAGGCTGGCGCGCACCCATCCACTCACCCCTCCAGTCCGGCTGCTCCTGCCCCCACCCCACCGGTCTGGGATGTACCTTTCCATCTGTTGCTGTTTCCTGCTATGGGCTCCTGCCCTGACGCTCAAAAACCTCAACTACTCGGTGCCGGAGGAGCAAGGGGCCGGCACGGTGATCGGCAACATCGGCAAGGATGCTCGACTGCAGCCAGGGCTTCCGCCCGCAGAGCGCGGCGGCGGCGGCGGCGGCGGCGGGCGCGGCAAGTCGGGTAGCTACCGGGTGCTGGAGAACTCCGCGCCGCACCTGCTGGACGTGGACGTCGACAGCGGGCTCCTCTACACCAAGCAGCGCATCGACCGCGAGTCCCTGTGCCGCCACAATGCCAAGTGCCAGCTATCCCTCGAGGTGTTCGCCAACGACAAAGAGATCTGCATGATCAAGGTGGAGATCCAGGACATCAACGACAATGCGCCCTCCTTTCCCTCGGACCAGATCGAGATGGACATCTCCGAGAACGCGGCCCCCGGCACCCGCTTCCCCCTCACCAGTGCACATGACCCCGACGCCGGCGAGAACGGGCTCCGCACCTATCTGCTCACGCGCGACGACCACGGCCTCTTCGCGCTGGACGTCAAGTCCCGCGGCGACGGCACCAAGTTCCCAGAGCTGGTTATCCAGAAGGCGCTGGACCGCGAGCAGCAGAACCACCACACGCTCGTGCTGACCGCCCTGGATGGCGGCGAGCCGCCGCGCTCAGCCACGGTGCAGATCAACGTGAAGGTGATTGACTCGAACGACAACAGCCCAGTCTTCGAGGAGCCCTCCTACCTGGTAGAACTACCCGAAAACGCCCCACTGGGCACCGTGGTCATTGATCTGAACGCCACCGACGCCGACGAGGGTCCAAATGGAGAAGTGCTCTATTCCTTCAGCAGCTATGTGCCCGACCGCGTGCGGGAGCTGTTCTCCATCGACCCCAAGACCGGCCTGATCCGTGTCAAGGGCAACCTGGACTATGAGGAGAATGGGATGCTGGAGATCGACGTGCAGGCCCGAGACCTGGGTCCCAACCCCATCCCGGCCCACTGCAAGGTCACTGTCAAGCTCATCGACCGCAACGACAACGCGCCGTCCATCGGTTTCGTCTCTGTGCGCCAGGGGGCGCTGAGCGAGGCCGCCCCGCCAGGCACCGTCATCGCCTTGGTGCGGGTCACTGACCGCGACTCGGGCAAGAACGGGCAGCTGCAGTGCCGGGTCCTGGGCGGAGGGGGCACGGCAGGCGGCGGAGGCCTGGGCGGGTCGGGAGGTTCTGTGCCCTTCAAGCTTGAGGAAAACTACGACAACTTCTACACGGTGGTGACTGACCGCCCGCTGGACCGGGAGACACAGGACGAGTATAATGTGACAATCGTGGCGCGGGACGGGGGATCGCCTCCACTCAACTCCACCAAGTCCTTCGCTGTCAAGATCCTGGACGAGAACGACAACCCTCCTCGTTTCACCAAGGGACTCTACGTGCTGCAGGTGCACGAGAACAACATCCCAGGAGAGTACTTGGGCTCCGTGCTCGCCCAGGACCCCGACCTCGGCCAGAACGGCACAGTGTCCTACTCCATCCTGCCCTCGCACATCGGCGACGTGTCCATCTACACCTATGTGTCTGTGAACCCCACCAACGGAGCCATCTACGCCCTGCGCTCCTTTAACTACGAGCAGACCAAGGCTTTTGAGTTCAAGGTGCTTGCTAAGGACTCGGGGGCGCCCGCGCACTTGGAGAGCAACGCCACTGTGAGGGTGACAGTGCTAGACGTGAATGACAACGCACCGGTGATCGTGCTGCCCACGCTGCAGAACGACACCGCTGAGCTGCAGGTGCCGCGCAACGCGGGCCTGGGCTACCTGGTGAGCACCGTGCGCGCCCTTGACAGCGACTTCGGCGAGAGCGGGCGCCTCACCTACGAGATCGTAGATGGTAATGACGACCACCTGTTTGAAATCGACCCGTCCAGCGGCGAGATCCGCACGCTGCACCCCTTCTGGGAGGACGTGACGCCAGTGGTGGAGCTGGTAGTGAAGGTGACTGACCACGGCAAGCCCACCCTGTCCGCGGTGGCCAAGCTCATCATCCGCTCGGTGAGCGGCTCCTTGCCCGAGGGGGTTCCCCGGGTGAACGGCGAGCAGCACCACTGGGACATGTCGCTGCCGCTCATCGTGACTCTGAGCACCATCTCCATCATTCTCCTAGCGGCCATGATCACCATCGCGGTCAAGTGCAAGCGCGAGAACAAGGAAATCCGCACTTACAACTGCCGCATCGCCGAGTACAGCCACCCGCAGCTGGGCGGGGGCAAGGGCAAGAAGAAGAAGATCAACAAAAATGATATCATGCTGGTGCAGAGCGAAGTGGAGGAGAGGAACGCCATGAACGTCATGAACGTGGTGAGCAGCCCCTCCCTGGCCACCTCCCCCATGTACTTTGACTACCAGACCCGCCTGCCCCTCAGCTCGCCCCGGTCGGAGGTGATGTATCTCAAACCGGCCTCCAACAACCTGACTGTTCCTCAGGGCCACGCGGGCTGCCACACCAGCTTCACCGGACAAGGGACTAATGCGAGCGAGACCCCTGCCACTCGGATGTCCATAATTCAGGTAGGAGACTTTTAACCTAATGGGACTTCAATTTATTGCTGATTTTGGAGCTGTCCTGAAACCTTTGGTACAGGACAAGCCACATTGCCAGCAGCAGTGAGAGGGGAATTATTATTATTATTATTATTTTAAAGAAAACGGTTTACACTTTGCCACTGCATATACAACCTATTCTGCACATATCCCCCCCCATGTAAATAGTCTAAAATCTTCAAGATGTAAATGTCTTGCTTTTGTTGCATTTTTAAAGTTTATTTTTATAGGTTTAAAATGTTAAGTGTTCAGTATTAATAGTTTATTTTTACTTTATTTTTATTTGTTGGTCACATTTCTTTCCATAACAAAGGATCCCCAGAGTAGAAAAAAAACTTGTTTTACTTAATTCACCTAAAAAATCTTTAATTCCATTAGAAATTTGATGCCAAATGAAAGAAATGTGTACCCAAATATTGAGAAGTTAACTACTTGAAGTACAACATAGCAACCAGTTAGAATTCCAGAGCCTGAATCAACTTGAACTAAGTTTTCACCACCCAAAAAGTCAGTTTTATATTTAAAAAGTATTTTAAAGGACACAGAACTCATTTATTGTTTAGCTAAAACTGCAGCATAATTCATTAAGTGCAGCTTAAGCTTTGACAATGTGACTTATGCTCTCAAGATCTTTCAAAAGTTTGAATAAATGTAGACTCTGGATGATGATAAGTAACTCTGTGAAAAGCTTAAATTTATTTTGTCCTGTGGTTTTTCTGTTCTGTTTCTTGGAGTCATTGAGGAATGAACAAAGTTCACCAGAGGGTCACACACTCATTTTGGGTTGTGGAAAACAGGAGACAAAGTTGCGTTAAAGACACTTGTGCCAAAAAAGAATTCCATTTAGTTTGTATATTCTGTATTTTCAGTACACCTAAGTGATGTTTAATATATATTAGATAGCATCGTCCCGAGTTAATATGTGAAAAAATTAACTGACCCAGTATGCACATAGATTCTAACAACAGCAGGTGACTTGTGCTGTGTCTAGTCACTGCCTGTTTTTTTTTTTCTTTTTTTATTCACTATTGAGTCGTGTAACAGAAAAACTTAATTCTTGCTTCTTATGAATGCATGTTGCTACAAATTACTCTGGGTGAATAGAACTTGAAATTCAAAATTGAGTTTAACTAAAAGTGACACTTTGAGAGGAACATTAGCTTGGGGTAAATGAAAATAATTTGTTCATTATTTTATGCTTTGAAAAGCAAATACCTTTTACTAACACTTGACACAGTAATGTTTTTATTATTAAAATGGAGTTGTAAAATGTCATAATCTTATCTTTCCTGAGATAAGTGTAACAAACATTAAAACTTAGCAAAACATTTTCTTATAATGTCCTTGTAAAACAGACTTTTGTACTTGTAAAAGTGGGATTTAATACTACTACAATTGATACTTTGTAGTAGTATTAAATCCCACTTTTACAGTGTTTACTATATACTAGTAACCACGATTTTTTTCTGAAGTCCATATAAAACTGAACAGGAAGTTCCTCCCTTAAAACAATTGTGGTTCTGCGAAAGTCTTTCTGTGACTGTGTAAAATTGGTATTTGTGATCATCTTTTTAGAAGGAGATCTATTAGAGTATACATTTATAGATCTTTACTATTACAAATAAGTATACTTTACAAATAAGTATATGTAATATACCATTGACAATTACAAAGATATGGAATATATAATCTACTTCAATTACTATCAGTTAAATTCTTATTTAGGGTCCTAGTAGAAATGAAGTTGGTGCAGTAGAATTCTCAGCAAGCCTGATTTCTTGCTCAGATTACTGAGGAACAGTCCTGGATGGAAGTATCTAGAAGGTTTTGAGGGACAGGTGTGCCCATACTGTATCTATACCATGCTGTTCTTAAAGCTAGTCATTGTTTGACAGATGTATGATGGTGATGATGGTGATGGTGATGCTGATGGTGATAACGATGATAATAATTCCTCTCATTAGCAGTAAAATTTGAGCTAAAGCAAATCACACACACACACACACACACACAAACACACATACACACACACGCAGAATTTTTAAACAGAAAACAAAGGACAGACTTCCTTCCCATTCTTTTTTTTTTTTTCTAGCATCTTATTCTTTACCATAAAGACACAGAAAAACAAATTAAGTCCTTGAATTTTTTTCCAAAGTGGCTCGATTTCCCATATTGCTCCTGCCCTGGAAATATCTTCAATATAAACTGTTAAAACAGGTCCTCCTTTTTTTACTAGTGAGCTTTTACTATCTTATACAGGATGCTTTGTAAATTCCTCTTATGTTAATTTTCTTTGAAATGTATCAGGTTTTTCTCAATACCTATTATGGAGAACATTGACTAAGTGACCTTTCCTTTTTCTTTCTTTTTAAGCTAGTATCCTACAAATACTTTGCTCAACTGACATGCTTAAATTAACAGTACTTAGATTTCCCATAATCTTGTTTCAAGTGCATTTATTGGTGGGCGTATTTAACACAGCCTGCTGAGGAAACACTGTTAATCTCATGTGTACTTCTGAAGGAAGAATTTTAATACATCAGAGTGCACTTGGACTAGTAGCTACTAGATCTGGTTTATCTTTCTTTTCCAGCATCTTTTGTGCTGTTTAGAAGGTGCACAGTGTATTTCTATTAATGGAATGAAAAGAGTTTCATAATGGTTTGAAATACACTGGTAAAGAGTGGTGATATCAACCTTAGAAACTACAGAATTTATAAATCTAATGTTACAGCTCAAATTAAGATTTGTTTAAGTATCAAAAGATTTTGTGTGAGTCTTAAGACCTCCTAAAATTTTAAGATTAAGATCTATATACTCTTGGATATAAGGGTATTTGTATTGAATATGGATGCAGAACCATCATGTAAGCTGGTGTAGAAAGACTGGTTTGTGAGAAGAGATTTTATTTCAAGTTTTCAAAAGATTTTCTTTCAAGTTCCTTAGCTGAATTAAAATCATTCTATGAAGTGTTTAAACAATAGACTAGGGGTTAAAATATCCTCAGTAGTGTGACTCATAATACAATGTTGTTATAATGAAATATTTTATTCATTTCAAAGCTATAAAACTCATTTTGAAAAATAGGAGCACAGATTTTGTGGTAGGTGAGGCAAATGGATTGTTATACAAATTTATAAAAGCATTATTCATAGGAACAATTTCCATGTGAATTATTTCATATGTTAATATGAGAATCTAAAATCAAGTAGAGATCATGACTAATTGTCAGAAGTAACTGCTCGTCATAGCTTATCAAGAATTATTTAAGTCTCAGGGTAACTTCTCAACAGGTGTTTTCAGAAGGCTTTGCTGAGAAGTGGGGAGGAGGCTGGGACTTCTCACTAATGGGAGAAATTCCAGTTTGTTTGAACATCTGTGTTTTCTGATTTTTTGATAGCACTACTACAAGTCATTTTAATATGCTTTCACAGAAGAAAATATATTGAGCCAGCTGAATAAGATCTACTAAAATAAAATTTTAAAAGGAATGCAGTGTTTTACAGTTCAATTTTAAAGATTCACATTAGAGTTGACTTTAGATTCTTTATGATAAAAGAGAAAATCTTTTTGATATATGTGCATGGTCTTTCAATAAAAGGGAATTAAACACATGATAAACATATAAAATGAAATTGAGACATAGAGGACTAAATTATTGTAGTATAGACAATAAATTCACTATTTTAGAATGAAAAAGTAAAAAGAAAAGTATATCTTTACTGGGAACATTGTTCATTGTTTGCCTTTATTTCTACTTCTGTAATATAAGAGATTCTTGACAATAGGATACTTCCCAAGATCATGTTATGACTTCAGTAACAAAATGTATAAACATATTTTTCTTTGTTTATAATTTTGAAGATATTTTCCTGCAATGTTATTTCAAGACAGCATAGTTTGATTAGTTACATGCAAGCATTTGCATAAACTTTATATACATCTCTATCTATAGGGGTTGGAGTTGGCTGAGCAGAAAGTGAATTTTCCTTTCTTACTGCATGCCTCCAGGAGTATCCTGTATACTTGTTTTAAAATAAAGATTCTTAAAAGACAGAAGGATTAATTTCTACTTTAAATTAGCATGAGTACATAATCATAAAACTTTTTTCTGTTTTAACATATATTAAAAATAATACAAAGTGCAAGTAAACCCAGTTAAAAAGATAATCAGCCACTAAGATATTTTGACTTTGTTTTTAGAAGAGTTTAAAGTCCAAATTATTATCATTCTTAATATGTTATTACTAGTGTTGTATGTGCCCATAAAAATCTCAGCTCCAACATAAATCTGTGTGTATTTCTCAATTTTACAATAAATGGAAATATATAAGTATAATTTTTTAAAACTATATGAACTAGAAATCTGAGAATTTTATTTTTAATATTAGTTGAAATAGGCACTCATAAGATAATAACTTCTTCATCTACTAGTTTTTAGTTTTCAATAAAATTTCTGAGATACCAATTAGGTAATACTTATCCTTACATTGAGTTAATAATCTATCGGTTCTTCATAAATGTAAGAGTAAGATAATTTTTAATTTTACTTGGATTCTATGCATGAATGCTATAATTTTACATGCATTCTATGAGTTAGTTTTATAATTTCAATAAATATTATCCTATATAAGTCTACATGGAGGATTTTGGAATTTTATTCTTGGCACCTTCATATTATTTAAGGCTTTGTATAATATGAAAAATATCAGATCATAAAAAAATAGGCCCTACAATTTCTATCTCAACTGCTTGAACATATTTTTTAGTCAAGAAAAAAATTTACATGTTTTAGACATTTCCTATTGCCTGTGACTATATCGATCAAGCCATGCCCAAAAAAACCCCAAATCATATTTTCCAGAAAATTTTCTCTGCAAAGTTGGTGTTATAATATACATTATTTATCTTTTACAGTGCACAGATACAGGTTTATATGTGAGATAAAAATTAATTATTCTTAA